GTAAATGAAGCAAACCGATTCCAAAATGAACAAAGCAATCATTGTTGAAATCTTTTGCTCAACGAATTTGTGTCTGTACGAATCACGAGGTTTATTCTTACACATATACCTGATAGCCCGTTTCTGCTGGACTAATACAGACAGAAGTGCTGATGAATTGCTACTCCCCAAAATGGTATTCCATAACGTAGGTGGGATTCAACGAGGGCTTAATACACCTTTCTGGCAGTTTTGTTTCCCAAATTTATTGAAGTTACTCTCACTGCATAACATCCAGAACAAATTTGACTTTTAAGTTGTTTGATATATTCAATAAATTTGAGCTTGTTGTCAATGTGAATACTTAGAAATTTAGATTGATTCTCGTTCTTGATTACTAAGTTATCACCAAATGACAGGTCATCAAGAGCACATCTAAATGATAAAATGCTTGTTTTAGTGATATCGAAGGATAGCAAATTAGCATCACACCACTCCTTGATTTTTTTCATATCAATAGATATTGTATTGTGTAAATCATTTGAGTTTTTGTTATTCCACAATATCGTCGCGTCATCAACGAAAAGAGTGAAATTTCCAAAAATACTCAACTTTGCAATGTCATTGACATGTAATAAGAATAAGATGGGTCCTAACACTGATCCTTGTGGAACACCACAAAAAATTTCCCCTTTTTTTTTTTCTGAAAGTCCTGTTGTTCTTACCATTTGATTCCTTCCTGAAAGGTAACACTCAAGCCATTTGAGCGTCATTTTTCTGCAACCGTATTGGCGAATTTTATTTAGCAAGATCTTATGATCAACGCAATCAAACGCCTTAGAAAGATCACAAAAGACCGCAGCTACTACATTACCAGAATTAAACTTTGAATAAATATCATAAAGAAATGAAAAGATGGCATCGTGCATATTTTTATTGCTTTGAAAACCAAAGTGGCTTTCACTTAAGATATTGTGGTGCTGTAAGAAAACCGTCAGACACATTTTCACAAGTTTTTTGATAACTTTGGCTATAGTTGGAATGAGAGTTATCGGACGAAGATTTGCAGGATCATCTGTAAAAGTAGGTGACAGAACATCTGCTAGTTCAAGTAACAGTTAATTGTGAGATTTTCACTAAACAGTTCACAAAACCGCAACACGTGTTTCTCTATACGATAGCTTCGTCAAACGTGCTAATACTAAGTAAATTCTACCTAATTGGTGCTTTGTATAATATATCCATTTGAATAATATAACCTATCTAATTAATGACTAACAATTTCATCAGAGTTTAGGTATAAACTGATTGAAAATGTAAGAAATTACTTTCTCAGTGACTAATAATTTTACCAAATAAATAATGTTTCAATTTTCAAACTGGCATATACAGGGTGTAACTGAATAAGTGTAAAACATTTAAGGAGGTGATTCTTCATCGAAATAAAGATAGGATCTTTCATAGAAAGAAACTTCATTGGAGCATCCCTTGTTAAGATACAGCCCCTTATAGGGGGTACATAAAATTTGTATAAAAACATCCTTGGAAACTGTAACAGCGAAGGTTCAACTTTTTGAAATATGTTGTCAAGTCTTGTCTGTTTCACTAATCTTGGTAACTAGTAAAATATAATGGAGACTTTTCATAGCTTGTCGTTTTATGTTTGAGGATTCTCAATAGATCACCGTGTCTAGTATTATGTTCATGTTCAGAAACGTTAGACTGATAGGTTTTTAGATTCTGTCTGGCAAACATAACAGACAGGTGCAGTAATAATTTCATTTTGTCTAAATATTGGTCTGCAGCTGTCTCAAAAATTCAAACTGAAAATAAAATGAGTCCAATTATGTGCTTCTGAGCGTATAATTGTTTCCGTTACTTATGTAACATTACTTACGTACGTTACGTGACATGTGTCACGTTACTTTAATACAGAATAATGGATTTTCATCAAGTATAGGCAAGCAGAATATATACTTTTCAATGGTGCTTTCATTTTGCATGGGTCACACTGTATATGACATCTTTCGAAAATAGAAAAGTCCAACTGAGGATGCTACTATCGCGTATAGGAAATGAAGTATTAATTGTGAAAATTAAATAATTATAAAAATGTAATGGCATATGAAGAAGAATCAAACAGGCCGAAAATGGTATTGGATATCATTTGCAAAACTTGCAGAATGTGAAGAACGTTTTCACTTCCTGTTGTAAATAGTCGTTTTTATTTATTGTTTTGAAAGTCTAAGTTTAATGTTGAGAAAAGGAGGATTTGAGGATAATTCTTCATTTTGTGGTTTTCCAAATGATGTTCCTTATGAACGAGAGTAGGTCTGGAACGTTTATTTTTCTTTGAAAGTTCAAGTAAGTGCCTTCAGAGATTGTAGTAGATATCTTGAAAGGGTTTCCAAAACCAGTTGCAAACAATTAGAATATTTCAAATTTTAATTGATTTCGAAAAGTATTCAGAATAATGTTCAAATGAACTACCTCTTATGAATATTGATAGGTAGGTTTCCGGGTTTTGCCGTGGTGAAGGTCTTCTTTGGTTATAATCTTCAAACGTTTCGACTGCAACTACTGCAGTCATCTTCAGTGGCATAGTCGAAGAACTCTTCTTGACGTGTCAACTGAAACGCCAGCCGTGAGAGCCTACATTCCTATATTGTGTTAGGTAGTTCAAATATTTCAAACAGTTCAATCCCATGCATAATTAAAAACAATTTGAAATATAAAATTATTCTATTTCTTGCCAAAGTTTGAAATACCAGTATTTGAATATGATATGATCTCTATCCTATATTTAATATATTAATTTTTGCAAATATTTGGTATTGTTAAGTCTATTCTGAAATATCTCAGATCAGTTGATGATTCAATTTTAATTTTTGTTTCTTATTTGTTATACATACTTTAAAACTTTTTTTTTTGAATTGAAGCCAGTAATAATTAATTGTATTCACTTTTATCTTCCAAAGAAAAAATGCTGTGTATATACAATTTATATTATTTCCAGTGCCTTATTATTTTATAACCAGAATCTCATGAAAATAAATTTGAATGTAAACATAACTTCATATTTTGATAACTACTTATGTAATTTAAGGTACTATCACAAAGGCTTACTATATTGTTTGCAAGTTTAAAATGACATCCTAACTTTTACCAAGTCAGTATTTTTTCTTTCCAATAGTTTCTGAACATATCAGCCTNTGCTCCAACTTCTGATAATTTCAAGTTCATACGCTGGATGTAATTTTAAACTTAAAAATAAAATCTTGCTTTAATCGATCTTGAACTCGAAACTTCTCCAAGAAATGCGGGAATAACCCTTGCTGAACTTATTTCTTTCTTTGAGCGTGGTTTGGGTCTTTCCTACTATTAAGAATATATACATTAACTTGTAAGCCAAGTGCAGACATTTCGAAATTGTATTAACTTTCGTCCAAATGTGATATCAAAGTCAAAATATCAAAAATAATTTTATATTAGAGTACATCATTTAATCATTGTAAAAGCGGCAATAAAATTTGTTTATTGTAATATCTGTTATTCCTCTGCCTAGTTTCTAATGTTTATAAACCTTTCCTAGAAGGTGTGCGGCATCAACATGCGCAACGCCACCTACAACTTGGCAGCGAACGTCCTCAGACAGTGTGGCAACTCGATCACGATGCTCGTGCAATACAGCCCCGACAAGTACCACGAGCTCGAGGGCGGAGCCGAATCTTGCTCGTCGTCAACGTCCGAGTCGGAGGAGGAGGACGAGGAGGAGGCTGACGAAGGCGAGGCGACGCCCTGCAACTCCCCCAAGGAGGTCAGGAAGAGTTCGTCGTTGCCAATGAAGCCGTTGCAACTGATGGCGATGCAGAGGCAGGCGCAGAATGTTGCGGCGAACGGGAATTCTAGGTACAGTAGAAATCCGATAATCCGGCACGTTCGGGACTCGCTCGGTGCCGGACTACCGAATATTCCTGTCTATCGGGCGGTGCCCCTTTTGGTGTAGGCTTTGTCGTAAAACAAATGTAATTTTTTGTAACTACAAATACATTATGCAAATACAACAAAGTTTATTTTACATTTCATATAATGTATGTACACGTATTGTAAAACATATTTCACTTAGATTTAAAAGAGTCACGAATGTCTTTTTGTTTTCTTGACTTTTGACGTTTAGTGTAAAATTTATATCTAATGATAAGGAAATCGATATTTTCTGAAGCACTGTAGCTAGTACTAGCCGCATCAAAAGAGATAAACTTATTTAGTGATTCTACAGCTTCTGCCCAGCTGATTTTTTTCTTTTCTTCCGTTTCGGCATCTGAGTCACTTTCTTCAATATTTTGAGTAGGCTGAGGGTTTACTACACTGTTGATAATGTCCTCATCAGTTAGTTCTTGTTCAACAGGCTCATTCTCGTCGATTAGAAGCCACTCCTCTACCTCATCTTCAGGCAGGTTTTTCAAAGGATTGTCAGCACTTCTAACGCTAAAAGTTTGGTCAGAGCGTCTTGATGGTTTTCTTCTTCATCAGTCTGTAGAGTTAGGTCAGGTGCAGGGTTTGCAGCTTGCCAAAGTTTTCTCCAGCATTTTTGGAGTGTTGAATTTTTTACCTGGTTCCAAGACAGTGCAACAGCATAGACGGCATCTTTTACTGTAATCTTTTTTTGAAAGTTCCCGGATGATCCTGAACTACCCCGAAAACTTCCGAATAGCTCTCGAGCGCTTTTATTCGCTTTAAAGACACACTTTTGGAGAAAACGAAATGTTTTACAATTTTCCTAAGCGATGCCGGACTATCGGACATTCCGAACTGTTGGATGCCGGACTAATGGACTTCTACTGTACATTGTAGTACTCTGTATACAATAAATAGTACTGTAAATTACAAAATATCAAAGTCGTGACGGCATTTTTGTAGGCCAAGTAGTTGGGAATAAAAATCCCCAAAAGAGAATTTTACAGTCCTACGCGGTTTGTAAGAACTAAATATTGTCCAAATTAAGTTATCATAGAGTCCCCAAGGGTTGGTTTTGGTTCCCATTCTATTACTGAATGTAAACTACATTATTTAAATATATCTGTCAATTTTAGTCACTTTGCAGATGAAACATCTTCATTTTGGTACCAATCACATCATAAAAGAATAAAACTTATCGATGATTAAATGAAACTCAACAATTGTGCTTTCTAATACTAGATGGAATTGCAGACACCCATATAGTGGCACATGGCATGAATACAACGATTCACACGTGTTCCCAATTTCGCCAAAATCAATTGTGATCAATGAGGCATATGTCCTCTTTTATGAACAGGAGGGAACGAAGCAGCACCTTCGATGTGTTTTTTTTTCTTTCCTTTTTTTTATAATCTCAGTTCTTTGAATTGATTTGTATTTCTAGTTGTGTCACTTTTTGTTAAATTCGATCTAGAAATGCAAAAAAAAACACATTGTTGTTGAATAAATGCTTTCTGCTGAAAAAAAAAACGACAATCTATATTTTTAGGTTCGTGAGTTTCTGATAATCTGCTTTATATTTATTATTTATGATATTAACTTTATTTTCGAATTTGAAACATTGTTCATTAATTGTAAACATTATTTTCAGTCCACAATTTTTCATGGGTTCAGTCTCATTTACATTCATCCTAAATTTTCACGGTGCTATATTTTTTTGTAAATCCATTCTGGTTTCTGTTACAGTTTAGGTAAACTTCGGTTCAATTAACATCAGGATGTTTTGCTATTAAAACAGTTGTTGATAAACTTGTGTATCAGCCAGCTAAAAATATATATTTTGCCTTGGTATAGTCTAACCTGGGACACTGAATACAATTCTGGGGCTCATGCAAATAATTTATGTAAACATCTCTTTATGAAAACCAAAAAAAAATACTGTGAGTTAGTCCGTGAATAACCAAATCTGCCCTGGAGAAGTGAAAAAGTCTTTTATTTGAAATAACATTAAAATGAATAATGAATTGCCTGCAGCTATGAGGTGTACTGAATCAGTAAATTTTGAAAAATATTGAAAATATTCTCTTGGTCACGAATTTTATACATCTCAAGCAAAACTCAATTGAAGAAATGTAAATTTCTGACTTCGCAATATTCGAGATTATAAACCTAACAAGTTCTTTGGCATATTTTCTGTACACAGGGGCAGTACAGAAGAACCGCGATATCTCTGCATTGAAACTCAGAACACTTCCAATTTGGGCATATCTTTGGTAGGGGGTAATGCGGCAGGAATCTTCATTCACTCTGTTCAACCGGATTCTTTAGCTTACGACGCCGGCTTGAGAACCGGAGATCAGATATTGGAATACAACGGCAGCAATCTACGGGCTGCCACAGCGGAGGAAGCTGCTTACGAATTGGCGAAACCAGCTGATAAAGTTACAGTTCTTGCTCACTATCGTATTGACAGTAAGTATTCGTTACAATAAAAATATAACTTACTCATCGAGTTTTATGATACTAATTAGAAATTAACGGAGGCGTCCTATTAGAGAACCTTGCAGCACTATTCTAACCAACTGCATTGTTACTATGCTATATTTTTTGGTGATTTTAGAATACAACGAAATAAAGGACAAACCTGGCGACAGTCTATACGTTCGTTGCGGCTTCGACCGAAGCGGAAACGACATGACGGAACCTCCCCAGCTGTCTTTCTCAAAGGACGATGTTTTGTATGTTGACAACACCATGTTCAGCGGTTCTCCGGGTCAGTGGCGTGCTTGGAAATTAGACGGGGAAGGACATCGGCAGCAATGCGGCGTTATTCCCAGCAAGTATAAGGTCGAAGAAGAGTTGCTTCTGAGGCGGGGCGCAGGAGATCCATCAGAAGGTAGAATAACCATATGTAAATGAAATATAGTTTTCCATTCATTNTACACTTAAACATTAAAGTACAGTATTAAGTAATTGAGTTTTAAAATGATGCAAGGAGATGTTAAACATCTCAAGATCAACGTTACTATTGTATAATCGTAAGATTCTAGGAATGCAGCTATTGAAAGTGTGGTTCAAACGATAAAATGGTACATAAAATGTTTGTTGCTATCGAGTTGAGCGGTTTTGAACATGTAGATACATTTTTTCTAGAAGTTCAGCACAACTGAATTTGCCGTTAATAATATTGAAAAATAGTGTCAGGTCTCTCTGTTTCCTCCTAATTTCCAGGGAGGACATGCTCAGAGATCGCAGTAGCAACTCATACTCACAACGAACACCCAATTTAATGCTATGTATCTGAGGAAGTTGTGTTGGACATCTTCGATGTTCTTAATATAAGTTACACAATGAGGGGACCATACAGAAGAACAATATTCCAGGTGTGGACGGACCAGTGAACAATAAAGGGCTTTAATAGCAGTTGGGTCTGTGAATTCGTAGGTTAGCCGTTTGATAAACCCTAGCATTTTCATGGCTTTATGGATAGCCGTGGGTATATGTAGATTGAAGCTCAAGGTGGGATCAAGTACACCCCCAATGTCTTTTATTTGATTAACAGACTCCAAGACATGACATGACCATTTAAAGTGTAATTAAAAGTGGTAGGAATTATATGGGATCGATAAAATCGCATGACACGGCAATTTGTGGCATTCAAGTCCATGCCACTTAAGGAGCCCCAGTTTGATAGATTGTCAAGGTATGACTGAAGCCTATGAGCATCCAATGAGGTTTTAATAATTAGGAAAAGTTTTAAATCATCTGCAAATGATAGTGCTTTGGCGTGCCGTAAGCAATGAATAATGTCGTTAATGAATAAACTGAATAATAAGGGACCGAGGTGTGACCCCTGAGGAACACCAGAGGTTACTTCGTATAACGTGGAGTAGTATAATTTGCTCTAACCATTTGAGTCCCATTCCTAAGATAACTACTAATACATTCCAGTAGTACCCCACCTACACCATATCTGTTGAGCTTTTGGAGTAAGATGTTATGGTTTAACCCTGTCAAACGCCTTGGAGAAGTCAGTGTACGCTGAATCAATCTGGCAACCCTTCTCCAAAGATTCCAACAGGAAGTGGGAATAGGTAACTAGGTTTAATTCAGTCAATTTCCCAGCACAAAAACCATATTGTTGTTCATTTGTGATTCCAGAGCAATCATAGGTAAGGTAATCTGCCAGAATGTTCTCGAATATCTTGAAAATTGTACTGAGAATAGATATCGGTTGGTAATTATTAACATCTGACTTAGTACCCGATTTGTATATTGGGGTGACAAAAGATTGTTTTCAATAATCTGGAAACACGCCTGACTGGATAGCTTTATTGAAAATATAGAAGAGAAAGCGAGACAAAACGAATCTGAAATTTATTATGAATATACTCGAGCTTGAAACTGTTCCCTGGGGAACGCCAAACAGAATATTTGATAAACATTCGATGTGGTGAATTGCATTCTTTCATAAATAATATGTAAACCAAGAAATAATATTGCAGTATGTTGCAACAATGATAGTGAATTTACCCCTTTAATATTATTAGATATTTCTCAAATTTCGATAAAATAAATGTGGTGTATATTCCAAGTAGATCTATTTGTAGACTGTAAGATATGTGTCTTGATTTTCAGGGCGATCAACTGCCACAGCACGACGCAGTTTTTTCAGAAGAAAAAAGCATCAAAGAGGTGGTAGCGGAAGCTCCGGTTTAAATACGTCAAGGGATTCCAAAGAACTGGCAAGTTTTTGTAACCTCTCGCCTGGTTGGTACTCGGATTCAGGTACGTAAGACATTGTTCGTATTGTATGGGGTCTCATTCCAAAACCGAAACCAGGCGAAGTGGCAAGCGCACCACCTATCCTGAAAGGCTTAAATAATTTTGCGCAATATATTTGCAAAAGCTTTTCAATATATATATAACTAGCTCTTTCTATCTCATTTCCTTAACCCTTTCGCTGCGCATAGGCCGAGAGTCGTCTCTCGTACAGTTGACAGTTTTTCTGGCGTTTGCGAACATACTCGTCTGGAGCAGTATAGTCCAATGGGGTATGCAATTTAGGGAGAAATTAAATATGTTATGTCACCGAAACAATGTTTTATGATAGTGAATCATTTATTAAAATAACAATTGAAGTTAAGCATTATTTATTTTCCTGCAATGCAAGAAAAATACAATATATTAGCAAGCTCACACATGTACCACGTTGTTATCGGCGCGTCGTAGACAATTTGCACGAAAAGCGCCGTTGCAGGCTCGTTGCCACACTACAAAATAAGTTGCCGCGAGAATTTGCGGCTGGAGCAGTCAGATCTTATTTTATTTTGAAATGCGAGTTTTCTCGTCAGGAGCAATAGAACGGCAAACGAGAATACTCGTCTTGAGCAGCGAAAGGGTTAACTACTACACCAAACTGCTTCTTTTTGTTGATAATATGGAAAATAGGATAATAATAATAATAATATTTATTCATCCTCAAAGACGTTGACAAACGTATATGATAGGTCAGTATTAAGCACATAAAAATCACATCAAACGATAAAATTGTAGATCAGTAGATAAAAATAATACAATAAAAATTTATACAAATAAGTCAGAATTACAAAAATTAAAACAATTGTAGTTATNAATACAATATATTAGCAAGCTCACACATGTACCACGTTGTTATCGGCGCGCCGTAGACAATTTGCACGAAAAGCGCCGTTGCAGGCTCGTTGCCACACTACAAAATAAGTTGCCGCGAGAATTTGCGGCTGGAGCAGTCAGATCTTATTTTATTTTGAAATGCGAGTTTTCTCGTCAGGAGCAATAGAACGGCAAACGAGAATACTCGTCTTGAGCAGCGAAAGGGTTAACTACTACACCAAACTGCTTCTTTTTGTTGATAATATTGAAAATATGGGTTTTGTTCAGAAAAAAATGAGATTTAATTGAAAATATTTTAATGTTTATATTTTTTATCATCAAAAGTTTTTATTGACTTTTACTTGAACATTTTCATCAACTTATACCAGCATAATTTCTGTCTCAAAGTTTCATATCGAATTAATAAATGAAAAATTCTAGGGTCCCTGCACGAAGATTTATCCCAGGCGTCCTACCAACGGGTGGAACGCCTCCAATACCCCGAATTCCGACCGGTGCTCGTCCTGGGCCCCCTGGCCGAGTGCGTGGCCGACAAGCTGGTGCAGGAGTTCCCCGACAAATTTACCAGGGCTGCAACGGAATCGAGACGGTGCTCACAAGCTCAGCTCGATCGAGAGCTCGCCGATGGATTACTTCTCGAATACCGTAGAAGGGGCACTTGCTATGAATGCATAACTGTGTCCGCTGTCAGATCTGTAGCGCAGGCTAGGCTGCATTGCATGCTCGACGGGTCGATTACAATGGTGGAGCGATTGCATCGCCACCACATCTATCCCGTGGTGCTGCTAATCAAGTTTAAGAGCACCAAGCAGATTCGAGAGGTGAAAGATGCCAGGTAGGTTTTGAGTGATAGAGTCAGAAATGCTTTATTGTCATAAAAGTTTGGGTTTTGTTGACAAAGCAGGCTTAAGAACCAAAACAATATGAAACATTAACATAAAGGTCAAGAATTTAAAACAAAATATTAATATGGCTCAAGCACACTTCAAGAAGTCTATGGTAAAAGTCTGTGTGGTATTTGGCTGTACGTGAATGGTATCAATATATGTATTTTCTTTCGGGCTATAAGTGTATATTGGGATAGCATTCTTATTGGTTCATATGTAGGATTGTATATGATTATTATGGTATTTGGCTATACTTGAATGGTTTTCTTTTAGCAAAACAATGGAAAATATAACTCGAAATGTAAATACCTAGTGTGTACGTTTGAATTTAAAACAAAACAAATATATTAATACTATCGAAGGAGCTGCTAATTACTATATATAAGATTATACTTTGTGAATGTAGATTAGGATTACCTATTTCAAATAAAGATTAT